TTTTTTCGGGACTGAACGCATTTACGGTACCTACACTGTCCCAAATAACTCAAATATCATACCTAAGGCCTATTCGGCAAATTTTGGAATTCCGATACGGTGGCTCCGCCGTGCTCCGGCGACGGCACCACTGCGAGCGGTGGCGATCCGCCTCGGATTGGCTGTTTCCGGCCGTATTCAGCTAAACTTGCATTGGTTCCTGTGAGAAAACACCCCTAAGGCCCTCGGTGGGCCGAAAAAACACCGAAAATAGAAACTTACCAGCAGCGGGACTCTCCGCTGAGGCGGCTCCTCTGGCTGGAATCGTGATTTGGTATTTTGCTCCGGTCAACTTGTAGAGGAGGGAACGGTTGTCACAATGGTGGAAAAATTACATCAAACAGGAATCAAAAAGGGCCTCATCGGAAGCAAAAACCAAGAAAGCCCGCGGCGGCGGCGCTGGGCTTCGGCGGCATTTTTCGGCCAATTGGCTAGTTTTTTGCTCCGATTTTGCCATATGTGGGTTCAGCATCGAATTCTAAGCCAAGAGGAGAATATTTTACCTTGTTTGCTGGTCGAAAATTGCTCTAGTGCGGCGGCAGGTGGCAGCGGTCAGCTCCTTGGCGGTTGGGCTGTCTTCTCCAGCGAGGGGCTCTAACGGTTAGGGTTAGAGTTTGGGTGCAGATGAGATTATTTATAACCATCCGCTTTTAATATGAGCCGTCCATCGCGATTCAATCTAGTCTGTCCGATCGCGATTAAATAGAAAATGAATCTGGACCGTTCATCGCGATGCAATCTGGGCTGTCCGTGCGCGACTCAATCTGAGCCGTCCATGTGCGTGCAATCTAGGCTGTTTGTGCGTATTTTTTATTTGGGTCGTCCGTGCGCGCGGGAATGGATCTCAGTCGTTCGATCGTGCGCACACGAATCGCCACGTGACTCCCTTCCGTGTGGCCTCCCGCGTCAGCGTCTCTGCCACATGGCGTGTTCTGGTTGGCCGGAGCTGCTGACGTGGCATAATTTTTTTAAATTGCGTTTTGACCCCCAATTTTTAATTTTTTTTCAAAAATACCCCCAGATCCTAAATTTTCACCATTTTTTCCCAAAATTATTTTCAATTAAATCCCTAAATAATTTTACCTTTTTTTATTATTATTATTTCTATTTAAATAAATTAAATTAAATTAAAACTATATATTATTACATAATAAATCATTACATTCATTTAATAATTACAAAAAATTAAAATATAATAATAATAATAATAATAAAAAGAAAAGGGTTGGGGTGTTAACACTCTCCCCCCTTAAAGAAATTTGGTCCCTCAAATTTGTCTCTTACTCTTGATTGAACAAATGGGGGTACTGGCTCTAAAGTCTGATTCTAGCTCCCATGTAGCCTCCCTTGGTTTGTGGTTCTGCCATACGACCTTTACAAAGGATATTTTTCGATTGCGGAGCAATCTACTCTTTCGATCTGTAATGTCGACTGATACTTCCTCGTAGGATAAGTTCTCTTGGAGTGGGAGGGGTTCGTGGGCCAAGACATGAGAGGGGTCCAAGTTGTACTTGCGTAGCATAGACACATGAAATACATTGTGGACCTTGGAAAGCTCTTGAGGTAGAGCTAGTTTGTAGGCGGCAGTACCAATTCTGTCTAAGACTTCGAATGGTCCAATAAATTGGGGGTTCAGTTTTCCACTCCTGCTAAACCTACTAATTCTCTTGAAATGAGTGACCTTGAGGAACACCCGGTCGCATTTCTCAAACGCTAAATCTCTCCTCCGGGTGTCCGCGAAACTCTTCTGCATGCTCTGAGCCGTCTGAATATTCCTTCTACTCTTAACTATCTTAGATGTGGTTTCCTCTACCAGCTCCGAGCTAAACAATTTTCTATCGCCCACTTCTTCCTAACAAATCGATGATCTACATGGATGCCCATATAACGCCTCATACGGAGTCATGCCAATGCTCACTTGGTAACTGTTGTTGTAGGCAAATTCTATCAGGGGCAGATGGTCATCCCAATGGTCTCCAGAGTCAAGGACATAAGCTCGAAGCATATCTTCAAGTGTATGGATTGTCCATTAGTCTAAGGGTGGAAGGCAGTACTGAGGGACAGCTTCGTTCCCATGGTTTGCTGAAAGCTATTCAAAAATCGAGAAGTGAACGTGGGGTCCCTGTCGTACACCACTGTCACTGGAACTCCATGTAAAATTACTATTTTTTGGATATACATTTTTGCTAACTTGTCCAATGGATCGATCATTCTGATGGCTAAGAAGTGAGAAGACTTGGTGAGCCTATCAACAATTACCTAGATGGCGTCATGTCCGACGCGTGTCTTAAGTAACCCTGTCACGAAGTCCATGGCGATATGTTCCCACTTCCATTCCAGAATCGGTAAAGGTTGAAGTAACCCACCTGGGCGCTGATGTTCTGCCTTGACTTGCTGACATATCAAGCACTTAGACCCAAAGTCAGCTATGTCCCTTTTCATCCCATTCCACAAAAATTGGGGTCGCATGCTTCGGTACATTTTGGTGTTTCCGAGCTGCATGGCAAACTTTGAGTTATAAGCCTTAGTCATAA